TGGGTATTTAAGAAGCCACGATTGCATCTTTAGATCACCCCTGATGAAGACACTAGACTGGAGTGTCGAAACGTTGGGTCTTGATTACAATTCGACTGCGCTTTGTAATCATTTATTTAAACCAGAGTAGCGAGCGAAACACGATTGATATACCTGGTTGCAGTGAACGAACAAACTTTAAATCATTTGTTTATGTTATTCAACTGGCCGAAGATCAGTGAGATCTATTGGTATATAAGTTTTAGCCAAGGCAAAATCTCAGAGTTCATGCAGTGGAATCCGAAGTAATGGATAATCCAACTACAGACGAAATTTTGATCTAGGCAAGAGTCACAAGACGGAAAACCATTACCATAGCTGGAAAGAGCATCTTAAAATGAGTAAAATTGCAAAGTTTGGTTGCGAATTGTTGTAAAATGAGGAAAATATAGCCCTGTGAAGTTCGCAAATTTTGTATATATTTGCATTATCGCGGGAAAAATAACCATTTTTGAGCTGAAAGTGGTTATTTTTACTGCGCGTCATACTAATTATATACAAAATTTGCGAACTTCGTAGGGCTATATTTTCTTCATTTTACAACATTTAGCAACCAATACTTTGCAGTTTTACTCATTCTAAGACGCTCTTTCTAGCTGTGGTGTTGGATTTCGTTCTTCTTGCCTTGATCAAAATTAAGATCTAAGTTTCGCAACTTTTATGCAAAGAATCTAACGAAAGGTGTATCCATTGCTACAAATTGACGTATATATAAAGGAAGGAAAGCGAAATTCTACCGGATCCTAACGCGATATGTGCCGATAAAGCGGTAATCGCTACAGAAAATAGAACAAATAAATACAAAACAAGTTACAGAAGCGGTAAGGTTCTTGTATTTTGACTGTAACAAAAACGAATGTATAATAAAACAATTATTGAATTCGGTTTTTGCGATATGCAAAATTGTCAAGGTCTCGGTAAGCGTTATCAGCCTCGCCTTCGGCTCGGCTGATAACGCTTACCTCGAGCTTGATAATTCCGCATATCACAAAAACCTCATCCAATAATTGTTAATTATCACGATTTTATCCGGCTCAACAAACTCAACTTTAACATTTATACGTATAGTACTTACTAATTCGCTCATTCTCCATGACGTTAGTCTAAAAATGCAAAGATAAACAGTTTATTTTTTCACAAAAGTTGACTTAAAAGCCCCGTCCAGACGAATCCAGACGAGCATGTTTTCCTTTGGAAGTTTCCTTGACAACAGGGTTCGTACATGTGAGGAAGAGTTAAATTCAAGGACTTTTCAAGGAGAATCAAGGCCATGCGTCAACAAATTCAAGGACTAACTACTGAAGAAAAGGGGTTGGAAATCAGCAAAGTCTGATGTTGAATTGTTCAAAACGCAATTTTAATGAGTTTCAAACAGCTTTGTCAGATATGAACATGCAAAATCAATTCAACAAAATGTCCGTTTTGAATGTCAAACAATTCCAGAGAATAGCCAAAAACTAAAGCAAGAAAAATTTAAGGACTTTCAAGCACTTCTTTACAAATTCAAGGACATGGCACCGGGAGGTGGCACCGAAGAGAACTGTTTTTCTTGGAAAATATTTTGCTGATCCAACCATTAAAAAGCTCATTTTTACCCAACCTCAAATAACACTTTTAAAAAATAAATACACACCCCTGGCCAAAAACTTTACAAATGTTGTCACACATGTCCTTTACCACTTCTGTGACATGAATTTGATAAGTGCTTGTGCAATTTTCTCATAGATATCTTATATATACACTAGATAGTGCATCTAATTATTCTGCAATTCAAAAATTGAAGCCGTGATTACAGACTCAGGATATTCCCATGAAATGAGAAGACTGGTATGTTTTCTATTTCTTAAACACGGAACTTAAACATTAAGTTAAACCTATTCCAAATACATTTTCAAACTATTCAAATGATGAAAGTTATTGTTGTTTTTTAAACGTTTATTAGCGAGTGGGAAACTCCAACATGGCCGCCATCTATTCAAATGGGGGTAACCGCTGGAATATTGTTGGCTTCAATTTTACTTAAAGAGATGCGCTATCTAGTGTATACGAGATATCTATGAATTTTCTGCAGTCCAAAGTTTCATGTTGTCTGCACATGTACTTTCTTTGGAGACACCATTTGTCTCCTGACAACAAATCGGAAAATGATCAAGATGGTGACTCTGATGATTTACATATTGTACTGGCATATGACTGCTGTCATTAATTGCTTTTTAGTCTTCAATATTTGAATAAGTCATGCTTTGGAAATGACAACAAATTTTTATTACCCAACCCTTGAGTTGTTTTGTTTTTCATTTACCCAACCTTTTATTCACTCAAAATTTCGATTACCCCCTCCCCCCCCGCGCGATAAATAAGGACCGGTCCCTAACACTTGACATAAACAAACAACCGAATAAATGGAGGACAAGGAACAGCCAAAGCACAGCACTTCTGTTTGAACACTACCTCTTCAATGCAGTCTCGAAGTTCTGTGTAAAAGGTTTTCCTGATATCTTCTTTCTTCGCGTGAAATATTATAAGAACCTGAGAAAATGTGACATGCATGTTAGGACTAAGTCGCTGTAGTCAGTTACAGGGCTCGAAATAGCGGGCTGCCAATGGCCAAAAGAAGGCCATGTTTTAGAAATGGCAGGCAAAAACAAATTTTATATATACTAGATCATTTAGTTGACTAAATATGTTTATATTTGAAATGTAAATCCAAGTTTACTGCAGGAAAAATTCAGGGTGTTAGCCAGAAAAAAAAGTTTTGTCCGTTAAACGTAAACTGGAAAAGTTTTTTTGACCGATCAAAGTCCTTGTGTAGGAATAAATAGTGTTTTTTTCCCAACGTGTTTCTCCTTAGATGCAAACAACGGTAGCTTGGTTTTGTACATTTCATTTCCGGTGAATGAACACTGAAAAATGCACCCGCTGGCACTTCGTTTTGTATATTTCATTTCCGGTGAATGAACACGGATGCATTGCACACCGATTACACTTTGTTTTGTACATTTCATTTCAGGGAATACACACCCAATATGAATGAAACGCGATACATTTTGAGAAAATAGTTAATGGGAAAAAGTAAATTAAACGTTCTTTGATATAATAATATAAAATCAAACGCAATGCACTTTCTCATCAGAAAAAAATAAAAATCTTCCAGTAGACCCAGTTCGGAAAGCCCCCTTAGCTACTTCAATTGGGAAGAGTCCGTCAAACGGACAGTATATGGGCTAGCTAACACCCTGAAAATAGACAAGTTAAAAAACAATAAAAATGCATATCACGAAAACATAGATTTTTACAACGCGACTCCTATCAGACATTGCCATTTTGGCAGTTCAATGAATAAAAATGGCAGGCTAAAATTTATTTCACCTGCCAAAAAATTTTAGACTGGCAGGCCATATTTTTTCTCTACTTTGAGCCTTGGTCAGTTACTATAGACAATGACCTTACATTACTTATATAATACATCAAGCAAACGTAAAGGGCCACTTACGTCACCAGTGATTTTATTAAGAATTCGAAGACCATATTTATAATCTAAACAGATAATATTTGTTTAATAATAAGAAAACAGCACAACTTACAAGCATATAAATAACGTCTATGACAGGGGCGGACGGGCAGCTTTTTTGGCCTCGATGAGGAATAGAATTTGGGCCCTTGTGCGAGTGTCTACGGGACAACTGTATCGACGGGTAAGCATAGACGGATTTTGTGAGGGGGGGTGCAGGGGGGTGCTACCCCCCTAAACCCCCCCAAACAAAATGTCCAACCCTCCAAAAAAATTTTCAACCCCCCCCCCCAATATTCGGCATAATAAAAAATAACGTGCAGAGTGTTGATAATACAAAATAAACGTAGGAGTACACTCTAATAGAAAAAGACAGTGCAATACTCTGAAACTAATTGCTCCTCGCTTGCATTCACTGGTTTATTGGAGCAATTGTAAAGTTTTGAAACTCTATTATCTCCCCTGAATAGAGTTTGCAGTGCCTTGTCATGCAAATAGCTTGGTTGCAAGGAACATTTTGAAATTTTACGAACATTATTTTTAGTTTTTAATTCTTTTAGGAAATAGTCTTGCCTAGATTTAATCTTTACGCCCCAAATATTATTTACATCGGAGTTGCATCATAAATTGTACTCGGATTCAAACGACACAATGTCAATGACTTTATAAAAGTAAAAGCATATTGTGTATTGGCCTATTGGGTTTACACTTTTACAGGTTCATTTAACGTTAACTCCCTCAAGTCTCAACAGACAATCAGACAGGCCAAATCCATTGATATGACAGCTTCAAAAAACGTTTTTTCGAAGCTAGAAATCATGATTTTTTTCAAATTTTTCCAGGGATACTTTGTTTCCTGCTCTCTAGACTCTCCCTCGGGGCTCTAGTGCTCCACCTCTAGAATATAGACCTTACTGGGGTTTGGTGACACTTTGTGTTGCTTCAGTCACCTGCTCGCGGCTCACCCCCCTAAAATTTCTGGCACCACCCCAGTAAAAAATATGAAAATCCGTCTATGCGGGTAAGTACAACCTTTACGAAATCTGCGCGATATTGTTACTTACAATTATTATTAAAAAGTTGGAATTTGATATCACAAAGTTGATGGGAATTTTTGTAACTGTAATAATGGGTTCCTTTCTGGCCAGCCTGACCACGTTCCTTTGTTATCTAAGGAAGGAAGCACAAATTAATATAAAACATGTTTTGCTATTCTACAGTATGTAGTTCAAATAAACTAATTTAATCCCGGAGTAAATGACAGTCACGCCCAAAGCCTGTCATAGATCGAAGGTCGCTCGTTTCATGATCGAGAAACGCACATAATATTAGCTATAACCCCCCCAAACAAAATGTCCAACCCTCCAAAAAAATTTTCAACC